GCCCAAGATCCCGAGAGGAGAATGGAGGAGAAGGGATTGCGGCGTGGCCATCCCCCCTGGGGGGTGATTTCTCGCTTTCTGTCTCTCTGTCTCTGTCTGTCTGGCGAGTGCACTCATCCTATAGCAAAAACAAAACAAACAAACAAAAAAACCTCTCAAAAAAAAGTTATTTTGGGGGGCCAGCAGGTGTTGTGGTGGCGAAGGCACTGGACTCCCACCAGGCTAACCATGGCTCGGTTCCAGACCTGATGGTTTGCTGTCTCCCTTTCCCTTTCTCTGTCTCTCCCTGGTGAGTGCACGTGCCCTACAGCAAGTTAAAAGATAATAGTAAATAAAATGATGTAATTCTTTACAAAATATGTTTTTAGGGAACCAGCAGTTAGCGTAATGGCTATGTTGCTGGACTCCCACGTAGTTGACCACGGTTCGCGTCCCAGACCCAGTGGCTTAAAACTCATGCCAGGCGTGTGTACGTGCATGCCCAAGATCCCGAGAGGAGAATGGAGGAGAAGGGATTGCGGCATGACCATCCCCCCTGGGGGGATGATTTCTTGCTTTCTGTCTCTATGTCTCTGTCTGTCTGGCGAGCGCACCCGCCCTATAGCAAAAAACTTCTCAAAAAAAAAAAAAAAAAGAAATATAGAGACAATGGAGCCAGAAGATGGCATGGTGGTTAAGGGTGCTGGACTCCCACATGGCCAATTGCAGTTCGGGTCTTTGCGCGCACGCTCACTCACTCTCTGTTTGTCTCTCTCTCTCTCTCTGCCCCTACCTTGTCAAAATAAAAGTAAATAAATATAGAGACAACGAAGTTAGTTGGAGCTGTAATTTTTTTTATTTTTTGGAGAGGTTTTTTGCTATCGGGTGTGGGCGCTTGCCAGACAGAGAGAGAGACAGAGAAAAAGAGAGAAATCACCCCCAGGGGGGATGGACGCCGCAATCCCTTCTCCATTCTCCTCTTGGGATCTTGGGCACACACGCACACGCACCCGGCATGAGTTTTAAGCCACCGGGTCCGGGACTCGAACCACGGTAGACTACGTGGGAATCCAGCGACATAACCATTACGCTAACTGCTGGTCCCTGGAGCTGTAACATTAATAGTTTTGTGATAGGGGATTTGTACATTTTTCCAGAATGTGCAGTATTTAAGAGAATTGGGCAGACTATCTAGTTAGATTCGTGATTCTAATGTTGATTCAGACTTGCGATTTTTAAAAAATGTTTTCCTCTTAACACTCATGCACTTGCTGGAGAGAGACAGAGAAAAAGCCAGATAGAGAGAAAGCGAGAAACGACCCCCCAAGGGGGATGGCCATGCCACAATCCCTTCTCCTCCATTTCTGTCTGGGATTTTGTACACGCACGCACACGCCCCTGGTGGGAGTGTCAAGCCACCAGGTTTAGGACTCGAACCGTGGCTGACCATGTGGGAGTCCAGCACTTCAACCACTATGCCTCCTACTGTCCCCTCCCTTTTTTCTTTTTAATTTGATAGGGGGGAGGTGGGGAGAGGACAGGGAAAGGGGGAGTGGAGGGTGGGGAGAGAGGGTGAGAAATCACCCCCAAGGGAAATGACCACACTATAATTCTTTCTCATCTACCCTCCTCTCGAGATTTCGGGCACGCCTACATACTCCCTGTTGTTTTTCAAGCTGCCGGGTCCAGGACTCGAACTGCACAGTCAGCTGTGTGGGATCCAGCCACCTCAACCTCCTCACCACCTGGCTGGCCTGCTATCTTCCTTGGTCAGCAGAACCAGGCCGAACTCCCACAGGAACCCAATCAAGCCAGGCTTACGGGAGGACATGGGCTTTGTGCTCACGCAAGCGACGTGCCTTCCTCCTCCGCGCATTCCTGGACTGTCCCTGCTAGGACGGAGACTCAGCAGCTTGGGCGGATGAATCTAGGGGGATCATTGAGATCCTGTCTCCTCTCCCTCCGCTGTTACTTTCCAAAAGACCTGACCATATAAACCTCAGGCTCTCAAACCCTAGTGCGCACCCCAATCACTCGGAGGTCTTGGGGAGAACCCAAGAATGACCTGTTTTTTTTTTCTTTTGAGAGAGAGAGAATGTTGCTATAGATGTTTGCACACGTACTCGCTGGAGAGACAGAAAACAAGAAATCGCCCCCACCGTGGGGCATAGCCACGCCGCAATCCCTTCTCCTCCATTCTCCTCTTGGGATTCTGGGTGGGCACACGTACCCGGTGTGAGTTTCAAACCTGCTGGTTCCCAGAATCCACATTTCTAACAAGTTCCCCTGTGGCGGTGATGCTGCTGGTGGTCCAGGGACCACACTTTGAGAAGTACCCCTGTCCCCCACAGCAATGCCCCACTCCAGTCTCAAGGATAAGTGCTCACTTGGGCCAAATGGCAGAGGCCACCCTTCTGCATGAAGAAAGGATATTCTAGGGGCCAGCAGGTGGCATGGTGGTTAAAGGTGCTGGACTCCCACATGGCCAACCACAGTTCAAGTCCCAGACCTGGCGGCTTGCTTTTTCACTTTCCCTCTCTCTTTCTTACTCTGTCCCTCTCTGGTCAAATGAAAATAAATAAATAAGGTTAAATAAAATAATTCTTTTTTTTTTCTTTTTTGGAGAGGTTATTGCTATAGGGTGCGTGTGTTCATCAGAAAGACAGAGAGACAGAGAGCAAGAAATCACCCCTCAGGGGGAATGGCCAAGCCACCATCCCTTCTTCTCGCTTCTCCTCTCGCGATCATGCATGCACACGTGAGTTTAAGCTACTGGCTCTAGGACTCGAACTGCAGTCGACTACATGGGAGTCCAGCGACATAGCCATTATGCCAACTGCTGGTCCCAATAAAATAATTCTTTAGGAAAAAAATAAGTATGCTCTGGTACCAAGCTTCTTGGAAATTCAATCAATCAACTAATAAGATCACCTACATGGGGCCAGCAGGTGGCGTAGTGGTTATAGGACTGGTCTCCCACGTAGCCAACTGCGATTCGAGTCCCAGACCCAGTAGTTTGAAAATCACACCAGGCACGTGTGTGCACGAGTGCCCAGAATCCCAGGAAGAGACTGGAGGAGAAGGGATTGCAGAGTGGCCATCCCTCAAGGGGGGGAGATTTCTCACCTTCTCACTGTCTCTGCTTCTCCCCAGCAAGTGCATGCACCCTATGTGCAAAATCCTTAAAACAAATAACAAAAAAACCTACGAGCTTTAGCCCCCAAAATGCAGAGACACCACACTGCTGTAAGCAGACGGCAAGGTTTCCGTTTCATTAGCACGTTTGCCAAGATCAACTCCAAGACTTTACTGCCCAAATAAAACTGTCTGACTGTTACGCCTTGGCCGTGGGTCAGCGCGGCTTCCTTCCCCCTCCTTTGAAAAGGAAACTCGAGTTTACCCGTGACGATGCTTTGGAGGGACTGAGAAAACAGAGTTGGAGGGTGGCCGCTGTGGGGTGTGCAGGGCTCAGAGCCCCAGCACAGCTGCGTGTCAAGAAGCCCACGTGGGCTGCACCCTGGCCCTGCAGTGAAACACGATGCTTTGGCTGACACACAGGGGAAGGTTCTAGGGTTACATCTGGAGACCTCCCTGAGTGCACCGGGCATCCGCTTGCTCTGCTCCAGACTGGCTGAGGCTGCATGCGGGTTGCAGCATTGAGACCCTGTTAGGTGCTGTCTGTCTGTCTCCCTCGCTCATGAAAAAAAAAAAATTAACTTATTAACAAAAGGAGGGGGGCAGCAGGTGGCATGGGGTTAAGGCGCTGGACTCCCATATGGCCGACCATGGTTCAAGTCCTGGACCTGGCGTGTTTGTCTGGTCCTATAGTATTCAGATGATAATAATAGTAATAAAATTAAATAATTCTTAAAAAAAAAAAAAAAAAACTGTCTTCTAAAACCCAAAAACA